GGGGGAAAGACCCGAGCTAACATGGGGTTAGTTCGTTAAATTACAATAAAGCCTCGTGCAGTTTGCAGCAAGCTCTCGAATCCGCCTGGTGATTGGGGTGACCGCGAACCTGGCCTGAGACCCCGGATACTTGAGTTTTCGGGGGTCTAACAGTAGGACAAGCTCCCAGAGGGAACCCTGCTGCACTAATAGTAGGCTTTCAACCCTTGCAAAATGAGACTCCTCCCATCAACTCTCACTTCTCCTGGTCTTCATGCATGGCCTCTTGGTTTTCATGTTCACCCTGAATGTGACTTTCTTTTTTTCCACAGCCAGCCCCACCTTGCCCCACACTACACTCTAAAGTTATATGGACCTGATTTTGTCTTCCTCCCTTGTAGCTCTAACTCCTCTCTTGTTTGCCAAGTGAATGATGTTTATCAGTTAATGGAGGTCCTATTGCAGGGGATGCATAGCTATGAGTCATTTAGAACAAAACCTGGGACTGGAGACACAGGCAAGCAAAGCAATAATGCTTCTAAGGGACCCCAGTGGTTTACCTCGGCCTACACTGATCTTAATGCTGACTGTGCCCATATCCTAGGTAGCCCTCTTTTGGGGCCAACTATGATACCAGGCTATTGTGTTTGTGTGTGTGTGTGTTCATCATTGGATTGCCAACCAAATGTATGCCTCACCTAATTTAAAATTTTACTTTCTTTTTTGACTTTGGGAAAGACTAAATATTGGTGCACAAACAAGCATGCAGGCAAATACTCATGTGCCTAAAAACTTTTAAAAACAATAAAAACTATCTAGGTTAAAGCACGAGCTCTCCCTGCAGGTCCATGTAGGGAAACCTTCATCCACATTCAAGTTCTTAAACAGAACAAGAAAATTCTTCCTGGAGTAGAGCCCTGTGAATGCAGTGTGTGCAGAAAAGTTTGCATGTGTCATTCATCTCTTAAAAGGCACATGAAATCTCATACTCAGCACAAACAGTGTGAGAATCACAAATATGGAGAAATGTCATATGAATGTAAGCAATGTGGAAAAGCCTTCAGTTGGCCTAGTTTCTTTCTGATACATGAGAGAACGCACACTGGAGAGCAACCCTGTGAGTGTAGGGAATGTGGGAAATCCTTCATTTATCACACCACCTATCGAGGACATATGAGGGTGCACACAGGTGAAAAACCTTATAAATGTTAAGAATGTGGTAAGACTTTCAGTCATCCCAGTTCATTTAGAAACCATGAATGAATGCACTCTGGAGAAAAACCCTATGAATGCAAACAATGTGGAAAAGCTTTCAGATATTACCAAACTTTTCAAATACACTGGAGAAAAAACTTATCAATGTAAACAGTGTGGGAAAGCTCTCAGTTGCCCCACCTCTTTTCGAAGCCATGAAAAGATTCACACTGGAGAAAAACCGTGTACTTGTAGAAAATGTGGGAAAGCCTTTAGTTTTCTCAGTTCCTTTCACAAACATGAAAGAATTCATACTGGAGAAAAACCTTATGATTGTAAGGAATGTGGGAAAGCCTTCATTTCCCTTCCAAGCTTTCAAAGACACATGATCATGCACACTGGAAATAGGCCTTACAAATGTAAAGAATGTGGGAAAGCCTTCAGCTGTTCTAGTTCTTTTCCAATGCATGCAAGGACTCATACTGGAGAGAAACCATATGTGTGAAAAGTGTGGTAAGGCTTTTAGTTGTTCTAGTTCCTTTTGAATACATGAACGAATTCATACTGGAGAGAAACCCTATGAATGTCAGCAGTGTGGTAAAGCCTTCAAGACTTCTCGTTCCTTTAGAATACATGGAAGAACCCAAAATGGACAATGATTATTTAAATGCAAATCATGGGGTAAAACCTCCAATGTCCCATTACCTTTTGATGATATGAAAAGACTCTTGCTTAGAGAAACCTTATGAGTAAAATAAAAATATGAACAATTAAAAAAAACGATCTAGATATTTGATTGTATCTCTGCACTTCAGCTACTAGGTTGAAAATCCTGCCTTGGCGGGTGGATATTTCTAAACCAAAAGATGAAAGTAACAGCCAACCTGAGGGTGACTGAGCAGGTAGTTCACAGCTTCCTCAAAGTATTCCAGGTGGGTAATGTCCATGTCCTTGGGGAGGTCATCGTAGTTATAATAAGCCAGAGCCATGACTGCAAAGCCCTTCCCAGCCAGCAGACTAGCCCGATACTCCGGAAGGCCACCTCCACCTCCAAAAAGGTCTATGATCCCAGGAAAGGGTCCATTTCCTTAGAAAGAAAGACACAAGAGGGAGAGGCGGTTTACTATTTACTCAGCTCAAGTGCATTTGCATTGAGTCCACAGCAGCTCTGAGTGTCCTTCCTTATAGATGTCAGCTGCTGACTGGGTGCTGGGACGTCCCTAGGATCCTCTCAGTTTTCTGATGCCAATATCCCAATGCCTGTTCCATTGTATTTCTAAATCAGTGACCTCCAAGGACATTTCCTTCTTACCTAAACCATACAGAATTGTTTTTAGTGTGTCTGCAATTAAAAGGGCTGATTAATTGCACTTCTAAAGTATTGTGATGTCAAAAATCTATTAAACTGCTTATTATCAGCATTTCAACCATTCAAAGTGTCATGGACATCACTGGCCAAATCCCCTAGAACATCACTTTGTGAGTCATCCAGCTGTGAGTCCCCTCGAAGATGTGGCTCTTTTATCGTGGGAAAAAGTTAATTCAGAGTCACCCAAGAAACAAAACTCCATAGCCCTCCACACCCACTCTTTCAGATTCTGGACTCAGAGTGGCACTCAGGTCCAGCAAGTTAGAAAGTTCCCCTGTGCTTGCGCTGGACCACCTTGCCTGAAGGATTGTTCTAGAGTAGCAGATGCTAAATGTGAACCCATGCACAACCACCTGCTGGTCTTACTATTACTGAGAAGATTTCTAGTTCACAGGGCTTTGCCAGCTCTGCTGAGCTTGCCTAAGAAAATTCAGATGCTACTCCTGAGCTGACCTTCAGTTCAGGGCTCTCCCAGACATGACCCCAAGTCAGAAAGACTTTTCCAGGGGCCACTGACCTCCAAGGGCCCCGTGAAGAGTGCGGGAGACAGGGAAGAAGGGGCCCAGGCGCTGCACCCCTGAAGCATCCCGGGCTTCCAGCCCAGGAGCCCCATGGGCTCGATCCCGGCGAAGCTGCCGCCCAGCGCGGGCGCGCGCGCCAGGTCCAGGCCGCCGTGGTCGTCGGCGCGGTAGCGCGCGTGGGCGCGGAAGAGCGCGCCTTTCTCGTCTCGCAGGGCCGCGCGCAGCGTGACGGGCTGCTCGGGGGCCAGGCCGTGCACGGAGATACCCAGCGGCTCGTCCCAGCAGCTGCGGCCCGCGGGCTTCAGGCTTACTATATGCACCATCCCGACACCGTGAAAAACACCGTGAGAATACTGTATAATATATATGGTCTCTCAACTTCTTGAGTCAATGATCACGAGGGAACCATTAGCCCTACTTGTTTGCTTTGGCAATCGCGGTATGAAACTCCTTAGAGTTTAGGGGATGCTGTGACCCATAAGCGAAAAAGCTAAGCAACAGTAATGATGGTGTTGAAATACAGGTACAAAGACTGACTTGAAAGGATCACTGCTCCCGTACCAATAGTTTTGCAAAAGTACACTAAGATACTTTAATGTGGTGACCCTGAGAAACTTGGCCTTGAACCTTCTTTACTTGGGTATGTTGCTAGCATTTTCTCATGCAGCCTCGAACAGAAGCTGGAGCCAAGTGCATGGAAACAGACCACCAAGGCTGAAGCCATGACTCAGCGGATTAATGACTTGGGAACCTGGGAAAACAGCCAGGCAGTCTGCCCCCAGCACAGACAGACAGGCAAAAAGGTTTTCCAACTCAACTCACCGGTTTTGGGTTTTCTCAGTCAGAGTCTTGGCAGGAAACAGGTGCTTGTTGGACTAGGAAGAAGAGTTTGTTGACACCATGGCAACATTTCAAAGGGTTGTGGGAGTGGCTTCACTGAGATGCTCAAGGGGCAGAGGAATAAGGCTCCCTAGCAACAACTGCACCCTACCATCAATGCAGACAGGCAGCTCTCACTTCAAAGAGTAAGATTCTTTGTTTGCTTGCTTTCCTGGAATCATCAATTAATTGTTATGCAGAAATAGGGATTCGGGTTGTCTCCAAACCTTGTTCCAACCTGGTAACATTTCCATTTAGTTTTTATGGTAACAAACAAAAGGATGTCAAAAACCGAGGCACTCTTAAGATACTTTGATGCAGGCGTCAGCTGGGCAGGTCACCTTACATCAGGGAATTGTGTACTGTTGGCCTCAGATGCTGCCTGATGGTGTTCTCAGTGTGGTTGTTGGAAGCTAGGGGTCTGTACATTGCAAAAGGATTTATCTAACAGCCACATGCTGGATAGTAGGTTAAACAGAGAAGTGTTTAAAGGTGGCTAAAGGTAGCACAAGATAATTTGGCTCTGGGTGTCTAATGATTGCAGAAATTTGAATCAACACCAAGAACATCAGTGTGCCTTTTTTTTTTTTCTGTGAAATTTAGTTCATATCAGAATGATGATGCAAACAGGATATAATCAGTACTTATATTTAACACTTCTCACCCTGCAGTGTGCCTCAGTTTAACATGTCAGCAAGGGCAGGAGATGTTGCCTATTTCCACGATGGTAACCATGGTAAAAGCCTCATCACTGACTGCATCACAGAACACAGAGAATTTCTGAGGGGCTGGACAGGGGCTTAGCAGAGAACACATTTGCTGTGCAAGTGCAAGGACTGAAGTTCCGATCCTTAGAAACCATGTAACAGCCAGGCTGGCATGTTCTGAGTGGGTATCTGCTTAGCTAGAGTAGCTGGAGTCAGTGACTCTGAGTTTAGCCAGAGACACTGCCTCAATAGACAAAGTAAGGAGCAATGGGGAAGACCTATGATGCCAATTTCAGATCTCCACATGGATGCCCACACACGTGTGTGCCCGAGTCCAGCTTCAGCAGGGTTCTTGTGCCACAGGAAGGATGTGTGAGGTAGGCGAAATATGAGGAGTCTGAACACCGGTTGTCTTTCAGAGGATGGCCCGGACTAGCTCAGGCTGTCTTTAATTTTACAAGTTCCAATGCATTCAAGCATGAGCAGTTTCAAATCATTTCTCTTTAATCATTTCCCAAGAATCATTAACGTTTTAGTTTCTCTTCTTTCCCACTCCCTCGAAGTCATTGACCTTCACCCCATATCATTATATAGCAAGCCCAATGTTTGTATCTAGTTAGGTACATCTTATTCATACTGTGCTTAGCCAGCAGTTACAAAATAAGAGATTTGAGCCTGGTGATTCATTCTGAACAATATGAGATCAGCTGAGTGTATTGTGATGCCTAGAGTATCATTTTTAGGTGTATATCAGTTTTCTGAGTAATCTATATGTCAGCTTTATTATGTGGATCGCAGCTATAATCATAATGATTAATACCTAACTCTTTAACTATTGAGACTAAGTTTCTATATTCTTCCTGGTAATTTCTTTTCCTTTCATCTTTTTTTTTTTTTTTTTTTTGGTTTTTTTGAGACAGGGTTTCTCTGTGGCTTTGGAGCCTGTCCTGGAACTAGCTCTGTAGACCAGGCTGGCCTCAAAATCACAGAGATCTGCCTGCCTCTGCCTCCTGAGTGCTAGGATTAAAGGCATGCGCTACCAACGCCTGGCCTTCTTGGAAATTTTTAAATATTCTTCTTTAAGAGGAACTAGGAGATTCTCTCTACACTTGTTCTCTACACTATCTAGTCTTCTCCTCTTCTCTGTCTGCTTCTGCTTCTGCTTCTCTTTCTCTCTATGGCGACCAGCCATGGCAGTCAGCCATTAATCCTGTTTCTCTTCTCCTTAATCTCCCCACTCTGCTGGGCCTATAATAAACCAACTGATATGTATAAAATGTCTCTTAGTCTTATGTCTCATCTTGTGCCTTCCTCCTCTTCTTCTTTATCTTGAATTTAAACAAAAATCTAACATTGTCCAACTCGGTTTAGGCTCTCCCCAAAACTTCTCCCAACAGGGCTGTGGAAAATTTCGGCGATCCTAAAATCCAAACTCACAACCCACTTTCCATCTCGGTTTCTCCTGGTACTTCCTCCTGCCTGCAGCGGCCTGAGATGCCAGGACTCTGTACACTTCAACTCGCTGCTTTTCCAACGAACCATCTTTGGAACCCACTCACCTGCCTGTTTGCTACACTCCGGATTCCTGTAAGTTCCAGGGAGCTGAACTGGATCCAAACAAACAGGTCTAAGAGGCACAAGGGAGTTCCATACAGCCTGGACTGTGATGAAACAACCAGATACCCCAGGACGGGGCAGCACCCCTACCTTCTCAGGCTCCCTAAAGATGGCCAATGCCCCCCACATCAGCAGGAAGCAGTCTTGAGAATTCAACGACCTTGTTCCTTAATCTGCCATGTCTAACACCCCATCTTTTTAAAATAATAAGTAAAGGTGGGATTGAAAGTTTCAGGCATTATGCTGACCTGCCCCTGTTACCTGGCAGAACAGGCAGTACCCTGGTCAACCCAGGGTTCCATGGGAACTAAGTCTGCACGCAAGTACAAAGGACCCCTTTAAAAGACAGACCCCTGCCCAATTATGCTCTCTCTACACTTCTCTCTACACTCTGTACTCTTCTCTTCTCTGTCTGCTTCTGCTTCTCCTCTCTCTCTCTCTATGGCGACCCGCCATGGCGGTCAGCCATTTACCCTGTTTCTCTTCTCCTTTAGTCTTCCTACTCTGCTGGGCCTATAATAAACTGCTTAATATGTCAAAAAAAGAGGAACCAGGAGTTTTAGATTTCTTTATCGATACATTGATATTGGAAAAGTATCTGAGTGTTCATCTCCTAGTGATGGAGAAATGTCTGACCTTTTGTGTCCTATCTGTTTTTCCTTCTTTGTTTCTATAAGGTTTTTAATGTCATCTTTAAGAAACCGTTTTCTTGGTTCCTAAGTTCTTTGAATATATTTATTTCCTTTGGTATTGAATAAGCAATAATCATTAACCTTAGTGAGTTCTTCCTGCTTATTCAGGATGACTACAAAGGCAGCCAGGGACAACTGGAGAAATGGGTTTCTGTAACAGATCAGAGAAATTTAGTTTTTCTGTAGAGGCTTTTGTTCCCAGTAAACTCAGGCATAGCAGAAGTTGGAGAAGCCTGAAACCCATGAGCTCCCTAAGATCAGTGCAGCAGTTTGCAGTTTGGTATCCATAGGTCCTTGCCAAATGGATGGGATTCTCCAAAGGGCCTTAGGTCTACAGAGCCCATTTGCAACACACCTATGCACTGTTCCCAAGGGTGACAGCATGGCTTCCACCTTGTGTGTATAGACACATCACCACCACACACATATGTATCTCCACACATACCAATGCTCGTACACACACTCACCATACATATAACATCATTTTCAAAGGAACCTGAAGGCTGGGTGGTGGTGCTGCATGCCTTTAATCCCAGCACCCAGGAGGCAGAGGACCTAGTGGGTGGAGCCATCCCTGGGCTTGTGGTCCTGGGTTCTATAAGAAATCAGACTGAGCAAACCATGGGTATCAAGCCTGTAGGCAGCGCCCCTCCATGGCCTCTGCATCTGCTCCTGCCTCCAGTTTCCTTCCCTGCATGAGTTTGTGCTCTCATAGCTTTTGGTGATGAACTGTTACACAGAACTGTGAATGAAATAAACCCTTTCCTCCCCAAGTTGCTTTTGGTCATGGCGTTTCATCCCAGCGATGGTAACCCCAACTAGGACAATTGGATAAGTTCCTAAATGGAATCATGAGGTGGGAGTTATTGGTCTTATCTTGGGAGCCATTTGTGTATGGCCCATGGCTGGGTGGACAAGTGGTCATCTCTCTATTTTGTTGAGTGGGCAATAATAGATAGGGCCAGCTGTTCTTCTTGAGACTAGCCATTTGGATAAAGTGCCAGGATCATGAGGAGTTAGTTCCAGATGTCTATAGAAGGCCTTTTAAAGCCCTGGAGCCAGTTTCCAGGTAGTCATAACCTGTTTGTAAAAGCCTGTGAATTTAGCCTTCCTTTGGGGCCCTTTGTATCTACCCTAAGAGCCAAGTTTCCCAAACAAACCAGCTTTAAGTGACATGAAGATGAATGAAATCCCTCCTCTTTAGCCATTACACCCAGCACCTGGATTGCATTACACCAGCACCTGGATTGCATTACACCAACACCTGTAGTACATTACACCCAGCACCTGTAGTACATTACACCCAGCACCTGAAGTACCCTGGTGTTAGCCAACCTGTTATTTTTCTAGTTTTACTTAAAATAATTTTTTATCATATCTGTTTATTTTGTGTGAATCACAGAGAACATGTGAGGCAAGAAGATAACA